CTCACCCGCTTCACTTAGGAATTTCTCAGTTGAATTCTATTAAAATAATCCAGAGGAAAGTTAGAAAACTTTTATCAACATTACAAAACGAAAATAACATTTATAATCTTAAAATAAAATCTATATCGGAACTATTTTAAGAAATTGTTGAGATGGGTCATTGATTTCAAAAGGGTTAAAAACAGTTTTATCTTCGCCATTGATAGATGTATATGCCAAGACACTTTTTATAACAAAGACATTAAAATAGATTTTATGCCGCTCCTTGTATTTGCATTGGAAAGCTTTTAAGTATTTCGTTTTTCAGATCAAACAGCTTTTGTTGGTTGTATTTTTAAGGGAACCGGTAGCCATATTGGATGTCAAGTTGTGAGTCGAGATGATATCTGTATGGAACGTTTCTTATGCAGCGATTCTGCCATGGAATCGTTATCACTTTTCTTTGTTTATTCCAGACATGAAAACTGAATTCAAATTGATAGTCGTTAGAAATGAAGGAGAGTGTTACGTCCATATATTCTGGAGCAGTATAGCATTAGATCGATGAATTTTGGATGTATAAGGGAACCTCTGGACCATTGATAACAGCAATTTAGATATAAAACTATTCTAATCTTTGAAAGAAGAGTCGACAGGGTTTGCTCTGGTGCCTACCAAATGCAATGCAATGGGCATCGCCTAGAGAATCGCCCTGGGTCCAGCCGAAGTCTCCTGTACTCTAGGGCCTTGTTGACATTAAGAAAAAATGACCGGCTTAATTTGGCCAGTGATCATTTGACTTTTTGATTTGGTGGGTTCAGTTCAAATGACCAATAATTGTTAAGTCAATCTGTGGCTGCCAAGTTCAATATTAGATAGCTATTATAGGCAAACATGGCGGACAATAAAGATTAAGAAATGTTTGTCACCAACGCCCTAATTTTATCTCTAGTCAATACGGCCATATTTGTAATGTCAACCTCCCCGTATTGTTCAATCATTTGGTCATTTGAGGATACTGTTCAAATCAATTGGTACTGTCTGATATATTATGACATATCAAGGCAAGTTCCTCTGATCTTAGTCGTTCGGATGGGATAATAAACGGAGGCCTCGTGTGCTACAGGCTGTGCACGTTAAAGATCCCTTGACAGTTGGAAATAGACAATGATTAGGCTAATGCTACTGTCCTGGCAGACTTTCTCTCATTGCACCCTACATGGCATTATCATCATTAACCCACATGTTGCAGATTAATAGAACGTAAAACTCCATTCATTTCATGTCTGATCCTAAAAAGATTATAAAGAGGTCCAAAAGCTGTACAAATATGACGGAGTACTCTCTTTTATAATATGTAGGATCGTTTGGGTTTTTTTTCATTTTACATTGGTCAGAAATGAAACGCGCCAACTAAACTTAGTGGGCGACAAGAATGGTAGTCAACAATGGCGGATATGGTTCGGCATTTGTGGTATGACTGAAGAAGAACAATAGCTTGGTGTTTCGAGGGTGCGGGTCTGGAATTTGTAATACGACCATTGTCAACAGAGTCTGATACCTTGGGGTGTGATCACCGGCGTTAGAATTGTTAGCAATCTATTTCTGGATTTCCGGTAATTATGTGAACATTTAGAACGATGGTTAAAAATAGATAGATTGGTAGGCACCAGTATACCATTGCACACCGCTGGATCTGTGAAAAACTGAATATACACCCATGAGAACTGTAGGTGAAGAATACCTTGAACAATTTGAACAAGCTAGAAACATTCCTGTTGAGCGGTATTATACCAATCTAGACCGCTGGATCTTCGAAAGAGCGTGTATATCTAAAATAAATTTAGTTGAAAAATAACATGGTGTCAAATCCCGCCCCCCTCCCCAAATAAATCCCCAAAAACGTGCCCTATTATTAGGGTAAAAAACTGTAACTGAGTGGGATGCACGTGCACTTAACGTCGTGACCTAATTTGTAGGATGAAAGTTCGGATTCTACAATAAGAAAGACAAAACTGTTCTCATCTGTTTACCCGAAAGCTCAGTTGATTGCGCTGTGGTTTGAGCTCTAGAAATGATAGGATGCACGAGTTCAAGTACGCTAAAATTTTCTTTAAATTTATGGTTTCTTCTTAGGATGATAGTTTCCTATATTATGTGAAATATCGTATACCACGATAGCTCAGTCGGATGCACGTCAGCTGGAAACAGGAAATATTTAAAAGGGTATGGGTTCGATCCCACCAAACTTTTCTTCATGTTAAAATTTCTTAATGGATATATTTCAATTAAAATCGCTAAGTGTTTGTGTCCTGGGTAGCTCTGTCGGTTGCGATTGGTCATTAGGCTACAGAAAATACTGTCATCTTGGGTTCGAGTCCACTAAATTTTCTTCAAATTTATAGTTTCGTCTTAGGATAGAAGACTAAATAGCACAATTACTTGTACACCGCGATAGCTCAGTTAGATGCGCGTCCGCTGGGAAATATTATAACTTTGAGGTTATAGGTTCGATCCCACCAAACTTTTCTTCGCCGTTAAATATTCTTGCTGCATATAATACAATTTAAACCAGCAATTTGTGTATCCTGAATAGCTCAGTCGGATGCGCGTCCGTTGAGAAGAGAGAATGTTTGAAGGGTATGGGTTCGATCCCACCAAACTTTTCTTCAATGTTGAATATTCTTGATGCATATAATACAATTTAAACCAGCAATTTGTGTATCCTGGATAGCTCAGTCGGATGAGCGTCCGTTTAGAAAAGAAAATGTTTGGAGGGTATGGGTTCGATCCCACCAAACTTTTCTTCAATGTTGAATATTCTTGATGCATATAATACAATTTAAACCAGCAATTTGTGTATCCTGGATAGCTCAGTCGGATGAGCGTCCGTTTAGAAAAGAAAATGTTTGGAGGGTATGGGTTCGATCCCACCAAACTTTTCCTCACTGCTAAATATTCTTGATGCATATAATACAATTTAAACCAGTAGTATGTGTGTCCTGAATAGCTCAGTCGGATGCGCGTCCGTTGAGAAAAGAAAATGTTTGGAGGGTATGGGTTCGATCCCCATCAGTTTTATTCAACGTTAAAGATTTCTAACTGGATATATTTCAATTTAACCCAGTAATTTCTGTGTCCTCGATAGCTCAGTCGATTGCGGTGTTCATCTTCACACAGTTGTAATCCTCTGTGAAAGGGTTCGAATCCTGAATAAGGCAAGTTTTTTCTCGGCAGTTTTCATTAATCAAACATAAAATGGATTAAAATTTAGGTTAAATAACTATCCGCGGTAGTACGTGCGTTGAGTGAAAGACTTTCGTCAAAGCGATGCGGGTTCGAGACTCGTTCAAGCCAGGTGAAATGAAGTGTGTACAAGGTAAGATTATAGTTAATTAAATCATTGATTGTTTGTGTTCTGTTACTAACTAGATTTATCTCCCTTGTATATACATACATCGTCATACTACACACCCGCCATATTACAAATATACATTCTAGTCACCATACAAAGACATAGTACTCTCACACATATCAATTCCGACCACTACACGCATGCGTAGCACAAACTAATAATATATTTAACCATCATCCAGCTCGAAAAAAAAATTTGAGACAAAATGGGGAAAAATTCCAGAAAATGGAAAAAGATCTACATTTTTCGACGTTTTAGGGCTCTAATAACCTGTACCGGCTTAGGTTTAGCTCGGCCTATGCATTTCCCCTATAGAAATAACCTGTACCGGCCTGAATCTAAGGATTTTTTCTCAATAATTTCATCTACCCATATGCCTTGTATACCCCTTAGCTTCCACCCTCCTTCAGCAACCTCTCAACTATCTTTTACCATCTACGATTTTCTTGGACGAGTGTGGGTTTCGGACCCTCGATCCCTTGGTCTCCATATCCTACCTATCACCTGGTTTCTTGCCCTTCCTACTCTTCATCCATTCCATTAACTCTTTTTTTTTTGGCTCATCGGGGGATTCGAACCGCGGACCTCTAAGACTTGTATTTAACATCAAGGTTAGTCGGAAAGCGTCCAACCCACTGGACCAGATGTTAATTGTCAGTAAATGTGTTTGGAAGTAATATTTAAAGTTAACAAGTTCTAAATTTTCCATAAATATAGTTTGATACTCTCTCTTGCCCATTGTGGGATTCGAACCTTGGACCTCTAGCTTGCCAGACAAATGTCCAACCGACTGAGCCATTATATTCAGATATATGAGTATGTTCGGAAGTAATATTTAAAGTTGACAAATCCTAAACTTTCCATAAATATAGTTCAATCTGTTCCTTCCGCACGACGGGATTCGAACCCAGGACCTTCAGCTTGCCAGTCCGACTTCCAACCGACTGAGCTATTATTTTATTACACTTAAGAGTGTGTTAAAGTGATATTTCAAACATACTATGTGAACCATAACCATGCGTTTCAAACCACCACAAATTGACAATTTATTTTCTGGGAGTGTTATTCCAACAGCCGATCATTAGGTTTAAAAAGCAAGCATCTTGACCTCAATAGTTTGTCTCTACTCCAGTCTCTGATAGCTCTTTTAACAGTCATCGGCTGTTATCTCTCAAAATAGCTACCAGAGGCTGGAATAGAGGCAGATGTTCCGAGGATAACAAAGCCGTCAAACAGTCCACTTCTCTGGCTTATAAAAACTAAATAAATAAATAAATAAATGTCAAAATTGACCCTTCACGAGATTCGAACCCATAACCATATCTGCGAGGATGTCGTAATGATCACCAGCTGAGCGCGCATCCCACTGAGCTACATGGCGTCTAAAAATAGAGGACACAATTATATATATAATTGTCAGGTTACTAGGTCAACCAAAACACCTGTGTTAGCACGTGAGTTGTGTTCTCGTTTCGATTATCCCCTTTAGAATAAGCTATATCACATTACACTGGATAACCAAAAAACAATACTGGAAGTATCAAAGGTCGTAGAGTAGAAGAGTAGCAAGGTTGCACCAACGCGACCAGTCAGATCATTCCTTTCAGACACAGAAAAATATCTTTATTCAAATAAATTCATATTAACATCCGTTATAAACAGAAAGTAAAAACTCAGATAAACATTGAGACTCGAACTCTTCAGCACCATTTGATTTCCAATTTTTCTTCTCATACTTTGGCTTGAATTTCTTTTTCCGACGTCTCCTCAATGTTTTCTCATATTGAGCTTTTGCTGAAAATGATAAGAAACGCATTTAAAGATTAGGAAGAACAGAGTGGCATTTTAAGGAATCACAAGGAGAAAAGGAATGAGAAGACGGCTTCAATACTGCAGAGAATAAAGTTTACCTTTAGGGCTGATCCATTCCCAATCCGGGGCTGGGGCATCCAAGATACTCTCGCGTTGTATTTCAGTAGTATGCCCATCTGACTCGTCATCAGATGTCATCGGTGTCGTCATTTCCGGTATTGAGGTCATCGCTTCTTCAATTTCAGGAACCAGTTCTATTAAAGTGTCGTCATCCATTGGTACGGAAACAATGTCTTTATCTAGAAGTTTAGTTCCGCCATTTGACTTCTTCAAAGAGAACAAGGGAACACGTGTCTGTGACTTCTCATCTTTTTCATCAAAGAATTCATTAACTTCCCAAGAATGACCTGAAATTAGACTCTTTCTTGATAAGGCTGTTGGTATGAGCAATATAAACAGTTGGAAATCTAATAATCTATATGAAATATATATTAGACGACAGACCACAGCAATGCAAAAAAGTACTACCTTCATTGGATTTATCTCCCTTGATTGTAGCATACTGAAGAAACTCCGGTAATCCAGATTTTAAATACCGTTCATCCTCTTCAGACTTGAACATGTTAACCCCTACATTCATAAAGAAAAAAGGGGTAGCCTAATTCGAAAATTGTTAGGGAGGGGGTAGTCACATTGAGAAAGCGGGTGGTACCTCTCATGATAACCTGCAGTGGCGTTCATAGGCCTTTTAAGATGAAGGGACCAAGAAGGGACCCAGAGTTGTTAAAGGAGGGTTCACATCACATTTCAGAAGTTACTGATAAAAAATTATACGGTGAGGGGGGGGGGGGGGTATGGCCCCCTTAATGTTCCCCTTGATGTGCAGAGCTCACCAACAGCATGCGACTGGGTTTGTCTACACAGCATCCCTTTCGGAGAGTCCACATACTTAATATTGTTTATTTGGTAGACACAAAATTTTGTTTGTTTTTTTTTTATTTGAAAGCTACAATATATGGTTCATAGAATATTCAACACAACTCAAATATAAATACATCGCAGTTCATCGAGGGGGGAAACGAACCTTTACACCACAGGTATTACCAGTTGTGTATGGTTGCGAATAATGAAAGTGGTCATGAGTACCGAACGCAACTCACATCTCACTTGCAGGAAAGATACGTTCGAAACGTATGACCGCTATTCTTATTCCAATCATACACAACTTGTGATCGCTATAGTGTGAGGGCCCCTTTGGGATATTCTTTAATAAGGTTAACAAAATTACATTTATATATATACACAGACTCTCTTAAAAGGATGTAGAGTGGTCCAACCCAATATATCAATGGCTATTCTATCCAAAATTCTTCAAATGGTTCAGTTTAAAATTACTAAAGAGTCCATTTTCATAAAAATTCTTATTCGAATCTCTCTTACTATTGTGAAGCGCTATCTTGGATTGTAAATGCTTCAGGAAACGATCTCTTTGGTTCCAATGAGGTTCATCATCAGCATCTTCTCGTGAAAGTCCCCCAGAAGCCTGTCCATTTTCTGAAATATAAATACATGTACAGATAAGTTTCAGAATGCAAAAAAATTAATATAGCAGTGGCGGGTGTCGCATCCAAAACAGACCACGCTTACTCTTTCCCAAACACCTGATGGTACTTCTCGTTTGAGGAGTCCAGTACTATACAATTATTGCTCACGATTTTGTCATGCTTTGGACGAGATTTTTAGTACACAAACAAACCTCCAGATTCTACTCTATTCCACGAAGAACCATGATCCCTGGGATAAAATGGCTGTCCTTGTAGTCCTCTATTGAAATATGTGTTAAATATAGGAGGCCATCTTTTACCAGCAACACCTGTATCTGTACCGGTCACACCTTTCTGTGGTATGGCGGTCAAACCAAGCTGTTTAGTGGTCGATTGGATAGTAGGATTATTTGGACGAACGAAGCTTGTTGGTTTCGTGAACTTGTCCTCGAAAGAAAGGTCTGGTGCGGATAAATTTGGATCCAATGGATAATTGGGATCCAATGGATAATGCCAATGGACGCTCTGTTTGGGACACCTGGAACCTGATGACGGGTGAGGTCATCGTCTTGATGCTTTGTTATCTCTTCAGAAAAATTGGGTGGACCTGCAAACAAAACATAACAACATCAGAAATACATGTACCAATAGAAAATGAAGCATAAATATAAAAGTTTGAACAGGAACTAAGCAGGACCCATTGAGGTGCTTCGAAAGGGTAAGCGAGACCCGATCTTACCATCGGTCCTTGTCGCAGTATGGTGCTTTGGTCGACCAATTCTACGAGATTTATGTTCAGTAGCTTACGAACCTAGATAAGGTGGTATCAGTTGAGTTGGTGTTTCACCCCGCGGATTGTAGCTGTTGGTGGTCTGGTCTGGAATCAAGGGCGACCATGTCGAATCTTGACCATAATTAGGGACACCGTATAACCAGTTATAGTTATTTCCTGGTCTGGCAAATAGATTCTCTTGCGTCACAGTATTCCAATATGGCGGGTTTGTTCCAGACGTAACTATTCTGACGTCATACTGTGTTGTCATAGAACCAGACATGGTTGTGACGTCACCTAAATAAGATGGTGTTACTCCCTGGTTGAGATTTGTTACTGGAGTACCAAAAGATAACGGTGTCGTCGTTTTTGCTGGAATGGGAGACGATAAAGCGGAATTTGCGGTTGTTGGATAAGTCATTGGCGCAATGGTGGTCGTTGAAGTTGGTGTAGACATCGTAGTTGTGGTACGAACTGGTCTAGTCGGAAACGGGACCTCAGAACAGGTTTCACAGCACTCCGACAACCGCCTTGTTTCGTTGTATTCGTTACAGAGTTCTTTGAAACAGTCGGCATCTCGATCACCATACTCACACCCTGAATGAAAAAGAAGCTTAAAATGGAATGGCGGACCAGTTTAACAGTTCACTCGACAAAACAGTTTAGGTAGTTTGGAAAGTCCATGGGGGACAAAATGTGCCTTGACATTGAAAGCTTCGGTTGATTAGGTGACAAGCACAAAGGAGTGGTAAAACATCCAGAACATGCATGGTTTTACTGGAGTTTTGTAAGAATAACTAAGACCACGAAGCTCAGTGAACCAACCTGGTACATTGGTGTATTTATAGAAGCAAGAATCACAGCAGTTGAGCTGGAATTGTCGGTCATAACATTCCCATGGTGACGTCATCACCACATCAGCGCATGTATCGTTACTCCACACAGATGCTGGTACATCATAAAATGGACAGTTATCTGAAAGAAAAACTTAAATGGGATAAACAATGCGGTCATATTGATAACAAGAGCTCACTTGGCTGACCACACAAGATCTTTATACAGGTTAATCGAGGATTTAGACGCCAACCGTATGCTCAACCAGCAAGGAAATAGTTGAGGATTTGACAATAGAAGAAGTTAATGAATATATGTGATAGAATCTTACCAGCTGGTCTGTTGATGGAGAATTCCTCGACACAAAGACCGTTTAAACACCACTGAAACAAAAAGAGCTCCACTACATTATCTTTTGTGAAAGGTGTCATAAGCGAGTAGAGAAGATACCGATGCTTTCTGTGATAAATTACAAAACAAAAGCCACAATTTGCAGAACTTCGTTAACATGATCGACCTTCTATTAATATACTTATAAACCAATACCTTCTGATGTCCACAAGGAGTTCCATCAGCTGGTAATATCTTGGAACACTTTCCCAGTTCATTGTTAAAACAAAACATCCCTTGGCTACAGATGTTGGTGAAGTCACCGTTATGGCGATCCTGAAATGGACGTATGAATCAAATCTTCATGCTCTTATGAAACATGTCTTATGAAGCACACGTCTCGGAACAGCGAACGCTTTGAAAATGTGAATCGTAGTATCAAGAGACAGAGCGTCCTGTCTCGTATGCTAAGCCTTAACTGGCCTGATGCATCAAGCGTCGTGTTTGAACAGCAGAAATAGAACAGCATGGTGTTTTTGATATCAAATTGTTTCTCACCCTGCATACATAAGAAGCATCGCCATTACTGTTCTGACACTGTACATCAGCAGTGAAAACTTCTCCTGGCTGATGTACCAGATATCCTGAAATTTCTCTCATATCATTCACAGCATTCTTCTTTTTCAGGCATGTCCATCCAGAGCTGGAGAAATGTAAAAAACATCTAGCATGATCATCAGGCCTTAATATGCTGCTTTGTGGTTCTAGAAATGCAATTACATCATGTCCAGTAATGGCGGCCTTGCATGATTCCTCTTCCGGAAACAAGAAGCAATTTATTGACAAGTTTTGTCCAGTTATAAAAACAAACTTCCTACCTTTCCAGGGAAAAAATAAATTCCTTAAAGTACTGGATACTACATTTCGAGAATCTGTAAGGGTTGACTGACTTGCTTTTACTAGGGAACCGGAAACGTGACGTCATGATGTACAGCTGGAAAGAAAGGCAAGTGTTCTCGTCCATATCATGTCGAGCTCCGAGGCTGAAAGGGGATGAAATGAATCCTTTAATGTTATAACGAAATCATACTACTAATGTTCACAAAGAATGGGGCAAAATAATCATGATCAAAACATCAGTTTACGTCAACGTCCACACAGCCAGGTCAGTTAACGTCAACACGGAGACGTCAGACGTCCTGAAACCTTCTATTAATCAAAACAAATAGCTGACCTGTGTCCAAGTTCATGAGCAGCGATGGAGATGACTCTAAACTCGTAATACTCTTCCACAATCGAGAAGAAATACTCATGGTTACAGATGGACTTAAGATAGGCCAGACCAGCGTTAGATGTAGAGCCTCCGTAGGTCAAATTGAAACTGAAATGGATGAAAACATGGTTCTTGAACTGGCAATTCTTCAACAATGGCGTCAATGGATAGATAATACAATCAAACCAATGCAAAAGTTTACAGCCTGAGTGAGAATGATTAGAAACATTTTGTAGAACTTACCCTGTAAAAAGCATCACATGATCACTGGGAGGAAGTGACGTCATGTTACTAAGAACCCAGTTCCGGAAAGACTCCAAAGCTTCTGATGACTCTACCAGATCTCCTGGTAGTGAGTTGTTCTGCAGGTAAGATTCGTGCGAGTCCTGAAAAAGATAATGTATTAACATCTCAGATAGCTTTTAATAGTCTTAGTTCGCTTTTTACTTTGGTGTTGATGAACACAGCCTTATGGAGTATAAAATTAATAAACCAAGTACTAACCAGAAACCCGAAATTGTCCCTAACTCTATCTGAGAAAGAACGTCACAACTCTACTTACATCAAAGATAAGGATACCAGCAAATGTAACATCAATCTGTAAGTCGGGTTCTTCAATTGAAGCATATCGTACATCAATCTGCAAAGGAGAATAAAGTCTTACATTCTGAAGAACGGCCTCCTTGACTCGTCCCACTAATATAAATACAAACTATACTGGCTGATAGTGTTCCTTAAACCATTCACAGAAACGAACCCAGTACAAGTCAGACTACGTCTTGTAATGAAGCCACATGGTACACCACGGTTATAAGGACATGCTATATGGACTACATAGAACTGATATTGATAGAGCACCCACCCCATTCAGTACAAATGTATAATACTGCTTGATAGTCTCGATCGTTTTGTCTCGTCTCCGTTTAGGATCAGCTTCTTCTATTCCATTATACCATCTAGAAAAACAAAAGCAATAAGGTAATGGTCTAATATGCATGTGCATTTCGATTTATACTACTAACGTTATCAGGCATCGGACTTCTGATGCAGAAATACCACGGTACAATACCACAATAACAACACAGTTTGAATAATGAAACAAAAAAGAAGAAAATATCGAAGGTCGTACGTGCAAGACTTACGTTTTGTAAATAGCATTGTCGACTACCATCAATAACTCGACTGTGTACAGAGAACTATCAATACTAGCTTGACGTTTATATCTTTCTATTGTATTGTCTAATGGCATCTCATAACTCCCTGTAATTCACGGAGAGAAACTTCTTAAATCAAACACTATAGGTCCATGTGAGACTGGTGAAAACACGAGTTGTATTAAAAATCTACCAATATTCACTCCTTAGGAAGATAAGGAAGACGCGAAAGATGTCACTGCATGGGCCAGACATTTGAATGCGCAATCGAGATCTAGCAAGATGTCTTCCTCGGGAAAATTAGAGAGAAGCTAGCTGAAGACTCTCTTACCAAATTTGATGATGTCATCCTTTAGATTAAGATGTTCATTCAGTAAGCTGATTGTATGGTTCAACACAAAATCAAAACCAGAACCGGTTTCTTTACCAGGTTTAACAGGCTCGATACTGTATTGGTTGTCAGACATATAGTAGGTACCCATCTGAAATTCAATGGTAGTTTAAGCCAAACATCTCTGCATCCTTTATGATAAGGCCTATGATGAATGGGGATCTTTTTCTCTGGAGTAACAGATCGACTACGTCCAATCATTTCCATTTTATGGGGTCATTAAATACCAATCTAATGCTCTTTGTCCAAATCTTACTAGTGGCTTCTCGAAAACTCATTTCTTGGGAATGTATAGCTCATGATTGGACTTGAGCAACATAACCTTGGGATAAGCTTGGAGTAATGACTGGGCATTACTCCAAGGTATAAGGTGCTTCTTACCAGTTCATACTTGCTGTTCGGTTGCTCTGGTCGCCTCACCATTATAGAGGCACCTTTAGTTACATCCTGGTAGAACGCCACATCCTTCGACTGGAAGCAGAGAAGATTAAAATAAAACTGTCCATTTGTATTTGAATTACTTGAGAATGGTACAGATTGCTGCAGAAGCTGGCACAGTATTACGGATGTAAAGGACAGTTCAGAAAAGCTGTTATTTTGGGGTGGTACGATTTGAGTTTGTATGGCATGTATAGGACTAAAACAAGCTTAACTCAGCGGACAGCATCATTTCAAAATGACAAAGTGGTACACCTTACCGTCTGTTTGGTCGAATCCCTGCGCACAGCTTCCCCATCACGATGTAGGAATACAGGTGTATCACTACCCACGTTCTGATTCTTCTGTAAATTGAGGGAAACCTGATCACCGCCATATTGGAAGTTAAAGTTAAGGGTCCCTGGTAGATGGCGGTCTGACCGTTTGGTTCTTTCACTGTTTATAGCAGATACCAGGTTGACTTTAACTGTTTCTGAAAGAACAAAGGGACTCGTTTGTTTGGTTTTACCTGTCTTTGTATCCTGAAGATGGCGTATATAAGAATCGTCGTTATTGTTACATTCCATTGTTACATACTTGTAACTCGTGTTTAAGAAATAAAGTGATTGTCATCCATACGACTCATAATCCATTCGTGTTGATAACTTTATGCCTATCAAACAGTACAACTACCTTTGCTTTGAACTCCAGAGCTCCTGAACAACTGTACAGAGCTAACGGTAGTATATCCCATTGAAAATACCAGTACACTTATAACCAGACAGCCAGAGAACAGGGCCATTATGACAACTAATATTCCTGATGCTATTTCCTTTGAATAATGGCTACAAATATTCCTATGTATATGTCCACATAAAAATATATGTAGAATCTACCACCCTCAATCCCATAAGACGCTCTTTCTTGTGGAAGTAAACGAGGCTTTGGTTGTAAAGGATTTTACTTATACCTTTAACATGTGAACGTCCAAACTGAAATTCCTAACCGATTCCAGAATGACAATGCATCCTTTTAATTGGCAGTTCGTTGAGAAAGGAGCCAATGGTGTATCGGGGTGTTGAAACTTCGATTCTTATTGAACATGAACTCCATTTTCTAAACGTAATTGTTTTTTCCTGGTGACAATAGCATCATGAAGGGATCCATTGTTTTCAAGATGTCAACTGTCAGCCATATTGGCGGCCATCTTGAAATCTGATATCTGAACATGGAGGGAAGATGAAAGGGGACATGACTGTATTTATATTGACCCTGTTAGACGTCAATAAAAATAAGAATGTCGAAGGTTATCGATGTAGCCATTTCATGAATTATACTCAAAAAAAGCAATATAGATAATAAGATGTATTAGGCATACGCATTTTTCGGACAGAATATAAAGGAAGTGTTAATGACGACTTCTTCGTCAGCAGACTCTAAATATTAATTGTTTTTTTATGAAATGAACCTGCAATACGCGAACTCCTAAACAGTGAGTGCGAAAAACCAACCCTTACAATTTAACAAAATCAAACGTTACCTGCTTGGAAACAGCAAGAGACATCTTCCCTCCCTGACTTGCACGATGATATTTGCAAACATAAACATTGTAGGGTGCGTTCGTTATGTTATACACATGTAAACTCGAGTGCGACACGAACAGTAGATTCGTGTTCTTTTGTGAGTAAATAACAAAAAGGATTTCGATATAAAAAATGTTTTAATAAAGGGTAAAATATATAATTTGCGTAGTAAAAAGTAAAAATTTGTGAATAAAATTGTATATTAGGACTATGGCATTTAATGTCTGGGTTCTCATTAGAGTTACGTCCCATTTCCTTGAAAATTTTTCATTCTTTTAATGGCGTTACTTCCCGTCATCACAAATTACTCTACAACTCCGTTTCACTTCACTTTTTCACTTACTATCCAACATCAATTCATCAACGTATATAATACATGATTAACATGTAATTGCTTTGAGCTCTTGGTTCAAAAACCAATTTAAATAGAGTTTTTCTGATGATGCAGTCTTTACACTATTGAACCATGTCAAGCTATTACGAACTTCGTAATAGTTAGGCATTGTGAAGATGATACCAAACACGCTCTGACAAATCAAAGCCCAGGACAAATGAGATCAGTGCAGTAACAGTTTGTACACAACTGCACACTTATTAAAGGCTCTTATGACACTGAATTTGTGATTGTAGCGAATACAAGTCCTAAAATAAGTAACCAATCCAGTGGATATAGCGCAAGTGGTTGTTCCTCCGTGGGCACTGCACAATAATGAATCCTTGAAATGGGTCTAGTAATGGTCGCTGGTAATTAAAACACAATGTATGTATGCACATAATGGATTTGTTCGTAGCCGACGTCGTTATCAAAGGTATCACTGAATAAGTGCTTGTCTACGATGGCAAAGACATACTTCGATGGATTCGCGCTCGCTCTTCTGTACTCTCTTCATAAGCAGGCGGAGCTTCACCTAGCACTGTACTGGAATCATCCTCGTCACTCCGCACCGAATCATAAGACGGAGGCGCAATACGTAAATTATGAACGTTCAAAACCATTGAAAATCCTCGAGAATTTCGGTCGCTTGCTTCCGATGCGTAATCCGGAGGCAGAAGACTTGGTGTGGCGTCTTCCGGAACGTTGGAAGACGTCGAGTCATCAGGTACGATAAGACCCGTCGCAGAACGCTGCACTCTCGTTCCGTTTTCTATCGAAACTATTGTCTGTCCGGTTGATTGCGAAATACTGTACATTACAGACGTTAGTGTGCGACGTCGTAAGGACGGACGACGGAAGCTTGTGGATTTGCGAGCTGTTCGGAGGAAGTAATTTCCAGCGGCGAACAATAAAAAAGTACTTAAGATGCCTAGAACGGAACATATCACAGCTTTAGTGGAGAAGGTAAATTCGTCTGATTGTTGAGCTGATACACCTGAAAGAAATTGAAAAATGTAATACTGCCCAATTGGGGTCTTCAAAGAGGGGGCTGGAGGAGCAAGCCCCTCACACAAGGTATCTTTTGATTTTAAAAGGACGTTAAAAGGAGACGTTACTTACTTTTATATTGTATTTTGAAACCACGAAAGGGTTTGGACGAATCTGATTTGAATTTGACGTAAATTGTTCTTCCTGTGGATTTGAAAACTGGTTTACTTCCACCACAAAACATTCCAATACGTAAATAAGAATCGGAGGGACCTGCAAGTAAAATATTTATAATGTTTTAAATGTAAGTAATAGAAAATAAAACTGTGAGCTAACTGTACCTCTAGTGTAATCAAGAAAGGTGCGTATTATACAATGGTGCGCATTGTATACAGGTTTGTACGGTATACGACCATCCTGGAATTCAATGCAGTTTTAAATAAGGATTTAGAAACACATTTAGGGGGATTATGATTGATTAGAGAGCTAAAGGCACTGCAGCTGAATATTAAAAGGCCTCGATCACACTTGGATAGTGCATTAATTCAATAACTCGTGAACTTACCGTCATAAATACGGACGTAATCATGTTGACAGTTTCTACCATATTCTATCTCTGAGTCGAGCACACTGACTGACACCACATCCCCTTTATTCTGGGCCATTATAGACCAATAATGGACCACTGATCTAAAATAGAAAAACAAATTTCAAAGGATTGGGATTGAATGGAGTTTTACGCCTTATTTAGGTCCACGGTGCTAAATGAGTTATTTGCCCATATGTTGCTTTGGATTTCGGGTTTCGTCTTGCGGTTAGGATTGTTACTACTTGGTTTATTAATACAATGAATTGCAATGGAATAAAGGACAACTCTGTTCACTTACGTGGGATAGAGACCCGGATAGTTCTGTGAGGTAAAAACAGCAGGATGTGAAGTCGCTGTTAGGTTTGTTAACGAATATGCCAATGTACCTGAAAGGAAAGTTAATAGCATATATACCATAAGACTTGGAACTGTATTATTTGAGTTGTGTTTGCTGGGGTGAGGGGTTGTTTCATGGGGGATGGGGGCTTGGGGCTACTGTCAGTTGAATCGTTAATACGATACTTGGTAAACTTCACAGGATTTGAAAATGTTTACCTTGTAAAGTATCTTACCCAACTCTCTTGAAAGTGTCATACATTATAATTGGGGCAGTCAATATTAAAATAGAGAGCTCAAGATACATTACAGCAAACAATGGACATATCAACATTCGATAGAGAGCTTTAAATAGTTCATAAGTACATTAAATATAGAGAGCTGTAAATAGTAATGGAGTGTCATCTAATGGGCATAAACAACTGAACAGCGAAAACTTCGGGCATACAAAGGCATTCAATATATATTGATAGAGAGCTTTAGATTACTGTATCAATATTCAAAGAGAGCTTTAGATAAAATGTACTAACACTGATTAGATAACAAGGCAATGGTGATTATGTAAACAATTACACAATGTTTACACACATGTAAACAATTTGTTTACACTCATTTCATTAGATTGGTATGTGATGTGTATGTTTGGTCAAGAATGGTGTTAAATGAATAACGTTTACGCAACGAGTGTGATACTTTGAACGTTTGCTAAACAACTATAAAGGCTACATGAGAGTTAATATTTTATACTGCATGCAGGTCCTCTGGAAGAAGATGGGGTTGGGGAGATCAAAGCATGACCAAATCATAAAAAATACTTTATCAAATCCAGTTTCCACAAGTTGAATGAAAATATCAAGCTAAAATCATGCACTGTATATCAGGTAGAGGTACTCAGTTGCAAGTGGGATCAAGTGTATCGTAGATTTTTAAGATGCTCTGATGAATTCTCGTCAAATGCATATCTCTGACACATTTAAATGGACATTTGATTGACTTGCACTTCATAAAAACTGATACTTCGACCCTTGTCGTTTAAGGGGTTAACTTCGTTTTGTTGTCCAGGACAGCGAAAGGGTTAATAACCTTCTGGCTTTAGAAGGGGATTGTTTACCAACATAGCGAACACCCAGGGGTCGTCCATTGTTCTTTTTACGAGTCGCTCATTCAAAAGGGGTTTTAACAACCTTATCCATTGTTCAGTTCGTTAAGCAAATTATAGGGGTCACATTTTCTAAGTGCATTTGATTGACATACACGTTACTTTACTATTTGAAATCTTGATAAGAGCGATTGATCGAAATCTGGTCGATTTGTTTCGCGAATTACCAGACCCACTGACGGTGCAAATGATGATACACACTGAAGCCACTTTAATGGAAAAAATAAAAGAGATCCTACCTTTCGTTAAAAGGAAACAGCTGAGTAGAATCCTCTTCACGTACCATACTGACATATCCCTCGAGTTCTCTGTAATATAAGATATTCCAAGAAATGACAGAGTTTTACGTCCTGGTAGACCTTAAATCAAATGCCAAAACATATAAAAAATGCTATCTGAAACCCACATGGACGAATTAACCACGTGTCCCCTTGGGGTAAATCTGGACTGACAAGCTAATAATCTAAGTATTAATTGATATATCCTTCATTGGTATCAGTATCAGTCGTTCGGTCAACCGTGTCATTGATATATAATTAAAAAGACGGATTTATACATCCTTCTGTTTTGAAATTTATTGGGCTAGTTTTACACCCCGATCTCAATGCCTTAAAGAAGAGATAACAGATTTGCTTAAACATACAAACATGTAATTGATATGTTATGAAAAGGGTGGAGTGTTACGTCATATTCGTCATGATTTGTTAAGGATTAAGGTCGAAACGTTGCTTTTTGATGAGATAATCATACGTAATACTTTTTTATGACCCGCGGATACCTTCCGGTTTGCATGAAAAATCAATTGATTGTTGTATGATGAACAAGAGGATAATTGTCGAAACGTTGTCAGAAGATCGATGATAAATCTGTATTGGTGATTGGGAGTGATTGATCAGCACCTTAAGGGGTTAAATGACACGACAGGGTTATCGGGATAATTGGGGTTAAGGAAGGTATGGCAGATTTGAAAAATTTGAAAAAAAATACCAATCTAAATAAATTTGCATCTGTGAAAGGTATTCGCCAGGGTTCTGTGCTTTACCCTACTCTATTACGTTTATGTGCTTTCGATTTTGGCCAAAATGTAATGCACTGATGAAAGATTTCGAGAACAGAACCAAAATAGAGACCAACTGGACCATCTACTTACCCATGTTTATCTCCTTCTTAATAACGATCCATCAACAAAATCCACACGATGTTTTCAGTAGCAACCACCAAATGAATATCCATGGAACTCCAGCTCCAAGTCTGACCATAAAATCTTGTGATATTGTCTTTGAATTCTGCTGATGACGAAAAATAAAAGAAATTTTGCTGACTTCACTTCGGACACGCATTTACTTCAACACCTTTATTATCAAAAGATTGCACTCGTGTGTTTCAGATGACGCATGAATTTGAACTTTAATGTTCCGCTAACCTACATACCTACACCCATTCGGGTGCAAAACGATTTGCAACTAGAACGCTCTTAACAAGCCTGGGAAATCACAACTCAACTCGGGCTAGCAATAATCAGCTTCGATGCACAGCAATGGCGAGTAACACACTGCGTTTTCCAAAGGCAAAAACCGCTTCAGAACAATATGATGGGGCACCTGTTGTATATTAGGATTGAGAATTCAGCTTTGGCTTCATACAGTGGACATATCTATGGCAGTTAGATTCAACATAACGATTCTTCGTATACTCACTGAGTTCCCTTCATTGAGCACAGTATAATCAAACGCAGCCAGTCTAAACCACAAATACAGAATTAAAATCCAATTAAAATGCAATACTATGATCACTGTCTACATACAGGTATCGCAATATATCCAGGCTTTATTTTCAATAGTAACTTGCTTAATTAAAACAAGCTAATAAAACTAAATTCGAGATTTTCGGTCAGTCCTTTCGAAAATATTCCAACAATGCACAATGACCTTTTCAGCCACGATCAAGAGAACTGAATTATACACATGACGATTATTCTTGTGATTTGAACAGTCAATAAATCTATCTGATAAGACGAGTAGTCCTCTATCTATATTTCCTTATTAAATATATACGATGACCCACTTTTCTGTGTCCTATTTGGGCACGTCTCCCTTACACGGTCATGGTGCAAATTAGATGTCAAATGCAGCAAAGTCGTTTGTCTATACCCTTTTCCTTCCTTCTTCAAAAATCAGAGACGGTTATGGAACCAAACGAAGTCAAAAAGCTCGCAGCACTTTCACATATGTTTCATCGATAACTCAGTAGATCACTAGATAGGGATACACTGTAATGCACCTCTGGTTTTTCAAACACTTCTGATGGTAACTGCGGGGACACAATCACATGGTGTCCTCCTATATTGCGACACTGATCTCTGTCATCTTTATTTATCCACCCAGCTCTAAAACGAAAAAGAATAACAATTGTAAAACAAAAATGAAATCTAAACAGAAAATGCAAACTAAAATATAATTTGAACACGTTTCTCACTATTCATTCATAACAAACCAAACTTAATATTTCTTCAAAAAGATACAAAAAAAAATCATTGAATTTCATGATCGACTGACTGATATAAAATCAAGCAAGATATAGAATAATAGTTTTTAACATAGATGTGAGAGAAGATCAGAGCTATTTTAAACGTTTTCACAAGGTTTTCAACTTCCGTAATATCTCTCAGCTTATTTCCTCAACGTTTGTTCGATTCTTTACAATTAATGAAGTGAATAGTTTGTTTACATATTTTCTGGATAAATACACATTCGAAAATAAAATCGACATAAATGTATCAAATCATTATTGGTAACTATTTGGACCCTGCAGAAGGAGTGGAATAGGGGTAAAAAACGAGGCATCGAATGATCCAGAATGATATAGACTGCTAAATAAATGTATGTCAATAAAATCGTAACTTGAATTTGGCGTAAGACAGGGTTCCGTTTTTTGTCCTTGTCTTTTACTGTTATGTGCTCTGTATATTAGTTAAGCCTCAAACTTAATGCTTTGGTATCATGGAATGGGATGTCGGAGATCATGGTGTCATCCATAAAACCTATAACCAGTCTGTGCATTGCAGTTTCAAGTCCAACCTTTTCTTCACTTACAAATCATGACAAACTGATTTTAAATAGGGCCACGTTCGAGTCAATAAAAGAATTCGGCCTTGATATTGTTAAACTTGATTTGGTCACGTCAATCTAATATAACTGCACTTGAGAGCGAGAGTCTTACCAGAATGTTGTAAATACCTACAAAGACACCTAAACGATAAAAGTTGCTTACCTTTTTAAAACTTTTACTGGACAGAAGATTATTTTATGACAAACGAAAGATTTTATCAATTTTAAAAACAAAGGCTCACCTTGATTTTACCTCGGTTAAAGTCAAATCGCGGCCATCAACAACACACGAAACGACGCACTGTCCATATCAAAATACAATGATCGGGTCCATTAATATACGGATATAACACTGACCAATTATAAAGCATGGCTGGATGATCATCGCGATTTTATGCTCGAATGATCAAGTCACTTGGTTATTATGATCTCAGTAACGTCAATATCAACACACAAGGCATGGCACAGGGCTCAACTTGATTAGTGGGTTGGTATCCCTTCCCAGGGACGGAGATTTTTCTTTAAACATATGCTCTCCTGCATTTTTTCTGGGGTTGGGGTCTCTTGGATTCCCAAGAACCGAAACGTGGACAGCTGTGGCTGAGTATCTAAGTCAGCAATTTCTAATATAGACCACATACCAACAGCTTGAGATCATGGACCATAATTATCGCTTGATGATTCCGGACATTGGTGGTCAATTGACCGATACAACGAACTTGTTGACTTCAGATTTGTTTTGAGGACATTTTCGTAAACACTTTCTGCTCCGTTGATTTTCGACACGTGCGTTACGTTAACGTCAAGGCTTGCTAAGATCAACGGACTCTTTCGACCAAGGAGGTCCAAATAGGCTAATATTTTATAGCCCAATCTCAACCCCCCTCAAATTGTTCCATTAGATGGGCAATTCTACAATGGATTATCGATAATCTCAAAAGACTTCAAATTTCATCGGAATTTATAAAGGCCGAAGCCATCTAGAAAAATTGAAATGGCTAATTAACTCTAATGTACCTTATAAAATATCTAAAGATTTATGTTTTAAAGTTAATCGTTTGTTTTCTTATATCGTGATATGTCAACAGATTTAACCCTTTAATAACCCAGAAATCCTCTTGTTATTTCGCACCTGTTTTTACCATAACCCTTTATCAGTTAATTAATAAATAGTCGTCCATTGTTTTAATTTTAACCCGTCATTAATAAACTTTGACCTTTTAAATAAATGATATTTTGAATGAAAAATAATTGACTTTTGTTGCTTAAGATAAGATTGTGATCTTGCTCATTATATGTTGATCAAGTAGAGCCGA